TCCCTCTGAGCTGTGGAGTCTTGTGAGCAATAATTCTACTTTGTGAGCTACTGGCATTAACGCTGTGAGCAAGCGATTTGGCTACTGCATAAATTAGCTTGCTCTGGAGCCATCCTTCCTGAGCTAAGACAAAAATATGTGAGCTGGATGCTAAAAAACTGTGAGCTAGCTCACACTAACTCAGCTTAGAAGGAACACTGATCGCCAGCAACAGAGGGACGCTCTGGTATTTGGGCAAAAGTTCTAAAGCAGAGGTCATCTTGTTAGCAGTCAGATCCCTCCTGCTGCTGAGAGGAAGTTTATAGATTAAAGAGCCAGAAACACCCCTCTAAACATCACCCCAATACCTTACGTGCAAGGCACTGCTTGGGTCAAAGTGGACCAAGATGGATACCAGTCAGGCAGAAAACAGTTCTCTGGGAAAACAGTTTTCAAGGTGCAAGTCAGAGTGGCTAGTTGGCTACTGCCCCCTCCTTGCCCTAGAGAGATGCATGACTTAGAACAATGGAAAGAGTCCAGTAGTGCCTTAAAGACTAACAAAAGTTGTGGTAGGGTATAAGCTTTTGTAAGTCCCTGCTCACTTATTCAGAAGTGAAGAAGTGAGCAGGGACTCACAAAAGCTCATACCCTACCACAAATTTTGTTAGTCTTTAAGGCACTACTGAACTCTTACTCTTTTCTAATGCTACAGACCAACACTGCCAACCATCTTGATCTTAGAATAATGGGTCGCCCAGGACTTATTGATTCACCCAGATTAATCCCTCCATCACCCAAGCCTGGCTCTCCCTTCACCCATTACCCTTGATTAAGTAGTGATTAATCAACAGTTAAGTCCATTCACTTTCCCCATCACTCTTCCTGCCTAGTGCTTGTAGGGCCATCAAAACTCCCCCACCTCTTTGTCTACCCCCCCAGTAGAGCGATCAGCTCATTGTCCTCTCACAGTGAGTCAACCTGCCTCAGGATACATCTTGCCCTATAACTATGTCACCCTGCTTCCCCAGCAGTGTGTGTGTGTTCTTGGATCCCCTCACACCCCCACTTGCATGTTAGTCCTCTCTCACTTCCCGAAACACTTTCCTCTTTGACTTGCTGCTTCCACGGACCTCTTCAAGACTGGTAATTATCACCCATCCCTACAACACTTTCCCCTTTCCTCCCTCATCTTCCTAGTTAGCTCTTGTATGTATTTGCTGTGTGCACCCTTGTTTATCCTGTTCTGTTTTATTCCAATAAAAACCTTTTCCTGTACGTAACTGCCTGGTTATTTTCAAGAGTTCTCACAGGGATAATCCCCCTATACATAGGTGGAGATCTCAGTTACCTGCCTCTCGCTGTGTCTCCAAGCTAATCCCCTCCAAACTAAGTGGAGATTGCCTACTTTGTGTACCAATTTTTACCACAGAGTTTTTACATCGATATCAGAGCCTTCCTGCAGCACTGGTGATGTGACGATGTCACTTCTGGGCTTTACTGGAAATTATGCCAGTGCACCAGTTATGGCTGCCAATCTCCAGGTGGTGGCTGGAGATCACCTGAGATTACAACTGATCCACAGGTGACGGAGATCAGTTCACCTGGAGAAAATGGCCAATTTGGAAGAGAAAATGGCAATATACCCACAGAAGTCCCTCCCCTCCCCATATCCCATCCTCCTCTGGATCCAACCCAAAATTTCCAGGTATTTCCCAACCCAGATCTGGCTACCCTAGCACCAGTGGGAAAAGCAGTGGGATGCTGGAAGGTCTCCTACTATAGTAGGAGGTCTTACATCCTTTTTGGGGTAGGTTGTCAGTTCCAGGAAAATAAGCTCCTGGTTTCTGCTTTAAGGAAAAGAAAGAACAGTTTCAACTTCACATATGTTAAATCCAAGATACCTGATACAGTCCTACACATTCAGAGATTATTTTCAGTATCCACTCATGACTCTATAGGAGCTAATGAAGAGTTATCTGCCTGGAGAAGTTGGCTCCATTAATGCCAAGATCATGCAATTACATCCATTTTATTGAACTGAGCATTACTCAAATTAAAATGGGTAGGGGGGAGGTGGAAAATAATTTTACACTATGCACTGCAAGCTTGTTAATGAATTTAAACTTTAATGATCTGTTGTTTATTATATCTCATGGAACATCTCGATAGCCAACCCCTGCTGTTAAATGGGGTGTTATTATCCAGCTTATTGAAAGGAGCACAAAAAACTGCCGTGATTAGCAACTGGGAACACTAAGAACAATAGGAAAACAGGATTGAAATCTGTTTCCCTGTTTTAGCCTTGGTCAGTAATGGACTCACTGCTAAAAAAAAAATAATGTCTAGTCCATTGTAGTAAAGATGATCACTTTGTTTACATAGACTAGATGCTGCCAGAGAAATTAACCAAACAAATAAAATAAACCAGAGATGGATGCTAGAGGCAATGAGTAACGTTGGCACCCAGCATCAGTTCCTCTAAAGCTGCATAAATATTGCATAAATTTGTTACGTAACAAAATCATAAAGGAAAGCAGGAACTGAGCAATGTTGTATCTCTGCAAGAATATATATATATTGATCTGTCTTCAGCTCCAAAGCCTTAACAGAATACAGAGATATGTAAAATAATCAAACAATTAAATTAAAAAATGATAAATCGTCCTGCAGACAACAGCAGCAATTCTTCCTAACCAAGCTTTTAAACAAGATCTTCTCAGCGCTGCCCGTACAGACTCTACAAAACATTCCCCTGGGTTCAGTGGAATCGGCCACAAACAAGGCAACCTTGTGCGTCTCTGGTTTGTTTGCCCACTGAACAGATAAGTGAATTCCAACACAGTTAAGGGCAGTTTCGCCATGTTCCTAAGTAAATGAGAATGAAATAACTGGCAGTCTGGCAAGCAGCAATATCAGAACATCGGTGGATATAAAGAAAATCCTTCAGTCCACGGTATGGGCTGAAACGAAGGGAGAAGAAAAGTATTTGCATACTTACAGTGCAATCCTAAAAGGAGTTACAACCTTCTAACTCTGTTTTCTTAGAAGGATGTAGAAGGGTGCAATTTTGCTTAGGATTGCACTGTTTGCTACTTGTGCCTCAGGCAAGGTTGCCTGGCTTGGCAGTATTGGGAGACAGTGGGGCAAGAACATGGAGGGGTGGCCATTGGCCAACAGTATGCCATCACTAGCAGTGGGTACTCTGGGAAAATCCAGAAGTTATGTCCTGCCACTGGCCAATGTCCATTTATTTTATTTTATTTTCTCCTGCTGCTGCTCAGAGTGGTGGTGGGAAACACCAGCTGGGGTTGGGAAATCCCTCGCCCCCAGAGGGAAGCTGGGAATCCCAGCTGCAAGTAGCCAAAAGGAAGCAGGAGGTTACAGATGCAGCAGAGTGAAAGGTCAGCAGACCACAGTGTTGTTGTAACTGCTAGTTGAGATTTAAGCTTTGCGGCTCAGGGGATCAACACAGGTACTTGTTAAAAAGCTGGTTTTTTAACACAGACTTTGCTCAAAAGTTTGCTCTCGGATGTGGTAGAATTTTGTGACATTGGGAAGGTGAAGTCCATGCCTCCAAATTATAATGTGCAGCACAATCTTAAAGCAAAAGGATATCACAACGGTAATATGCTAAATATCTAAGTCCTCTATGAAGCATTCCTATCAGAGATGAAGACTGCTAAACTTTGAAAGAGGGTTTTTGGGTCTTCAACATTTTTGACACAATCAAATCATTAATTGGTTGTTACACTCCATGCTATCCTATAAGGGAGTGCACTTTTAGGTGCATTATTCCAAGCTGCTCAGTACTATTGAGAAAGACTCTTTCTTGGCTTTGCTCTCCGAGATCCTTTAGCAAGAAGACTGAATCTTCCCACAAGCAAAGTATGTGCTCTACTCCCAAACCGTAGTGTAAACAGCTCTAACTTCCCTTCTTGTTTGGCAGGTACTGAGGACATTTTCAATCACATTCCCTGAGATCCAGTCTGGTGTAGTGGTTAGCAAGTTAGACTATGGCTGAGGAGACTTGGGTGCGAATCCCTAGTGATGAAGAAAGGCAGCCGGGGGGGGGGGGGGCTTGGGCCAGTGACATCTTTGCTCCATAACCTATCTTGCAGGGTTGTTGAGAAGATAACATGCAAGAAAGGAGAACCAAGTCCACAGCTTTGAGCTTCCTGGAGACAGGGTGGAATAAAAATGTACTGAATAAATAAAGCATAGTCTAGCAGGAATTTTCCACCCATGACAAGTAGTTCTGTGTTCCCAAGTTGGTTACATAAGGTAAGACAATAATTGTGTTGCACATGAGTTGTAACCTGAATTCACTACCTGACAACCAGAGCATTTGCACTGGAGAAGACCACAGACTGAAGTCCATGGAGCACCTTCCTTAGCAGTCTTCTAGAGAGCCAACAAAATGGTCCTTTTTTGCAGGATCTTTGTAAATTCGTTATAACTGACAGTATTTATCTGGGGCAATTGAATTTCTAGTGTGCTATGCTAATTTATTGGTGTTTTAACATTTGAATACTTCCATTGTTGCATTTATTGTCGATCTTTATATGCTGCACAGTGCACTGTTAGATGAGACAGAAATGTTTAATAAAACTAAATCAGTGATGACCAAAAGATATCTATTTTAACATCTCTGTGCCTCTTTATCACCATCTCTAAAGCAGATTACTAAGTAAAAATCCCTGAAAACACACTCAATTACAATCAGAAAACAAACAGCCTGCCTGGAATTTTCCAAGTGGTCCAGCACACCAAATGACAACCCTCTGGAGCAGCCTTACTTTACAAAATGTCCTCCGAAAGGGAATAATGTCAAATGGTCTTCAGCATAAGAAGAGGTGGGGCCCTACATACCTTCTCTGGCAGATTATTCCACAAAGTTGGCACTGCTATGGCAGGAGCATGCACTATAGCTATGGAGGAGTGTACCTGCCCAATCAAAGGATTAATGTGTACAGCGCACGGGTTCAGTTTGCCCACTGGAAATACAAAGCCAAGAAGGTTACCTTAATAGGTCTTCCATCGGGTGTGAGCACCTCTTCTGACAGCTCCATCATCTTCAGGGCCATCAGGGCAATGGGCTTTGCATGATTTAGGTTCTGCCGGTGGAGCCCGGCTGCCACACAGTACGCATCGCCTATTGTTTCCACCTGCAGCAATCAGACAAATCAAATGCATGAGTTTGCTAATGAGCTGGGAATCTGTACCATTACGTGTCTGCAATCATCAAGTGTTGCTTAAAAACATGTCAGCACAACATCAATAAGATAAGCTATTAGACAACCAAGTATAATTACTCCCCCCGAGTTTGCAAACAAACACCGTCAAATCCTGATGCCTCGTTGCACAGCCGTTCATCATTATGGCGCACATTATCATTAAAACTGAGGACATCTTGTACCATGGACTGTGGCTCGCTACAGGGTTGTCACCAGAAGGATGGGGATTTTTGAGACTGGGGGAGTCTTCAAAGAAATGTGCTACAGATGTGGGGAGACGGTTCCACTGTAGGTTGTCTCGTTGTGATAGAAGACATATTACATGGAGTACAATCAAAACAAATATAATAGAAATACATTAAGAATCACAGAATCATAAAGGGATCCCCAGGGTCATCTAGTCATCTAGTCATCTAGTTTGCAAAATGCAGGAAATTCACAAATACCTCCCCCCCCCCACTCTCCCAGTGACACCCACATTGTAACTTGCAACCAAATTAAATTGCAGTTTGTCAGTTTTTTATCTTTTCAAAGTAAAGAAGTGCTGGTAAAGTGGAGCTTAATCTTCTCCTTGCGTGTTGTGCCACAGGGTTGCATGAAACTAGGTCAGACCACTGGTCTACCAAGGTCAGTGTCATCTACTTTGACTGGCACAGGCAAAGAACTTTCACATTGCTGACTACCTGATCATTTTAATTGAATTGTACCTGGAACATGCAGAACAAATGTTTTACCACAAAGCCACAGCCCTTTCCTCTGTTCCAAATTCATGCTTCATCACACACACTGAAAACCTCTGGGGGGGACTACTGTGGGAAGTAATCTGGAGCGAGGAATTGATGGGCAAGCACCCGGTTGGCCATCATTCCCCCCACCCAGTGCTTTGCTATCAAGAACTCCTCCCAAAGTAGGGCTGCTGAGCCCCCACTGTAGACAGGGAACCCTCCGCTCCAAACTCCCATTCCCCACCACTGTTCCAAGCAGCAGCACGGGGGAAATTTAAGAACAAAACAAAATGAAAAATCAGGGGAAATTCAGAAGCGCCAGTGTAGCTCCTGGTATCACTGGAAACTCAATGGTTTTACCAGAGAATTTCTGATGATGATTCCTACAGCTACCTGCCGTCACTTCCAAGTTTTCTCCAGAAGTAACATCATCGTGCGGGCTGTGCCCCCCCCCCACGATGTCCCCACACCCAACCCTTCCAAAGTGGATTCTTAAGCAAAGAAAAGGCCATCTGTCTACAGTCATACATGTTCACATGTACTTTGTGGATTAGGAATAAAAAGCAACGTGCATAGCTTCCATAGTGCTGTCGGGTGAACAGGGGAGCACTATGATACCTACACAAAGACTCTGTCCCAGCCAACAAGACAAGTGGATAACTGCAAGCCTGAATTTGTTCCAAAATGGCAACCTTTCCCAGTCCGGAATTACAACATAAGAACATAAGAGACGCCAATGTTGGATCAGGCCAAAGGCCCATCCAGTCCAACACTCTGTATCACACAGTGGCCAGAAATACCAGTGACATCAGGAGGTCCACCAGTGGGGCCAGGACATTAGAAGCCCTCCCGCCCTTGCCCCCCCCCCACAAGCACCAAGAAGACAGAGCATCACTTGCCCCAGAGTCCCTATCTATACTTTGAGGCTAATAGCCACTGATGGACCTCAGCTTCATATGCTTATCTAATTCCCTTTTGAAGCCGTCCATGCTTGTAGGAACATCTAGGAAGCCCATCCAGGAAGCCTGTCCTTGACACCTCCTATCAACCGAATGCTCCTATCCCTACCATAGTTTTTTATGGGGATACATTAAAACAAGTTAAGAACAGCCACCTCAGATTTACTAGTGTGGAAGGAAGAGGAAATGCCTTGTGTGAGACTTTCCAGTTGACATTCTCTGGGCTCCTACTCCTGCCCTCACCATTTTTCAAAACAGTGGCTTGGAAATAAGCATCAAAATGTAATCACGAGGGGGGGGTGTCACACTTGTGGCATGTCTGATGCATGCTTTTCACCGCAAAAAAGAAGAAAACCGGTGCACTGAAAAGAGCAGGTGCAGAGGGGAAAGTGCCGGTACGGCAACTCAGCCTCTCCCAGCAGGCTCCCTGTAAAAGCTTAATAGACAATTTGGATTAAAACTGTTGCAGCTGAGCACTCCATTTTACAATGAACAAGTCCACACGTCAGCTTTCTCTTGCAAAGACTGGGAATTACACCCACGTCAAAAAGAGGTAAACTCCGACGTGGAAAAGAACAGACTGTATTGGAAAAGGAGGGGGGGGGAGCTCTCTCTGACAATTCAATTTCTTTGCTGCTTCTGATCGAAAGACAAAAGGTTAATGCCAAAGCAAAATGGAAATCTGATTTCAGGTGACCAGTTTGACAAATGCCGCTTTTTGCATTTCCATGGCTGACCAAGCCAGGACCGGTTTGCATTTTATTCTGAATCCACAACTCAACAATGATTACAATAATCAAATTTCAAGTGCCAGGACTGAAAGTTTATTTTCATATTTCATATTTGAAAAGTATGATGAATCTCTCTCCCACTGCGGCTTTGTTACTGTTCTTGGAAAGGCCTAGGACAGTAGCTCTTGATTACTCCCTAAAGGTGATGTGTGTGTGAAATAAATCTTGAAACATTACAGTCCCAACAATATACGCAGAATTTTAGCAAATAGCATAGCAAAGAATGAAGATTGTTTAGACTGGCAGGCCACAGGAAAGCAATCATGTTCGCCATAAGCAATGTTTCCCCCATACTTTGCAGCAAACAGCTTCCATGCGCACACACACAAACACACTCATGTCAATATCACCGTGGCCAAGAAGTGAATATGGAATGATGGTTATTCATCTTTATTTTAGGTGCTTTTCACCTGCTTTTCTCCACTCAATGAAGACTTAAAATGGCTTACAATGTCAAAAAAAGAAATACATAATAAACCCAGAAAAAAGCATCAAATTCCCTAATGTCAAATCTACCTGACTAAACTACAGGGTGGGAAATGGACAAGAGGAGGTGGTAACAGCTCTGCCCTTGGTGGAAACTGTCTCTCACCAGGCAGGGGATAGATTCACTTCTTTTATTCTTTCCGGGAGGAAGTTTATTTATTTACTTGATAGTGCTTAAGAGCATCAGACTGGTATCTGGAAGACCCAGATTTGAATCGGCACTTGTGCCATGGAAGCTCACTGGGTGACCTTGGGCCAGTCACACTCCCTCACCTTAACCTACCTCACAGGGTTGCTGTGACGATAAAATGGAAGAGAAGAGAATGATATAAGCTGCTTTGGGTCCTCATTGGGGAGAAAGGCGGGGTACAAGTGAATTATATAAATCAATAAAACAAATTTTAAAAATATCTCATGTTCCCCACCCCAAAGTGCCTTACAACGTTTTTCCATTTTTCATTTCACCCTCACAACAACCCTACAAGGTAGGTTATGACAAGAGTATGTTACTGGCCCAAGATCACCCAGCAAGCTTCCATACCAGAGTGGGGTTTTGAACCCAGGTCTCCCAGATCGAAGTCTAACACTCTTAACTAATACACCACAGTAGCTGTCATGTCTTTCCTTATTTCCAGGGGGCTGTTCCATTTATACTTTAAGGGGCTGGAAGGAAAGGGCAGAACAGATGACAACAGCTCGGCCTTTGATGGTAACAGTCTCACCCCCGCCAGGAAGTCCCACATTTACGCACATGACTGGGGTAGGAAGACACAAGCTGTCTTGCACTCAGTGCACATCTGCTTGGGGATGGCAGACTACACTGATATAATTGTCAGGGGGAAACCAGAATATAGCAGTGTAACTGGGTAAATGGAACAGTTAAGAGACTACAGGCCAGAAGCGCACCATATGGGATGTAAAAGAGACAAGGGGGTTCAGGGAGGATCGAGCCAGGCAAGGAACTGATGAAAGCACCAGCATGCTTTTAAAAAAGCAAAACTAGAGGTGTTAACCAACCTTGCTGTCATCTGATCCTGCTTCCTGTTGATAAAGTTACTGGGAGGCTGGTGCCAAAGAAGGAAGGAAGCGAAAACGGCTGTAGATGGGCCTACATTCCAAGGCAGGGCGGAGCTGAGGAGAAGTGCTTCCTGACAATAACCCACAAATGTTAAGGGTTTATCCCAGAAAGATCTAGCTACCTAAAAGGACTACTTCAGAGATTTAGGGAGGGGCTGTGGCTCAATGGGAGGGCATCTGTTTTGCACATAAAAGGTCCCCAGGTTCAACCCCAGCATCTCCAGTTAAAAGGACCAGGCAGAAGGTGAAGTGAAAGACCTCGGCCTGAGATTCCGGAGAGCTGCCGGAGAGCTGCTCCGAGTCACAGCTGACAATACTAACCTTGGTAGAATCAGTATGGGGCAGTTTCATTTATTACTTTTTTCCCCTACACCAGGATAATTCTTGTTAAATAACACATGCCTATATTGTAAAGGCTGACATGTGGTGTAATTCCCCCCCCCCCCTGTAGTTGTGTGCCTTGGCAAGCTGATGCACACCTCAGAAGCCCTGCCCTATTTCTATGCGAAGGAGCTGTCCACAGTGCTGGAGGCAGAAGCATAGGAGGCTTCTCCTCCGATGGAACTTCTCTACTGAGAATCAGAAGAAGTCGGCAAGTCCCGGGGGGCCTGTTTTCCTCCCACCCGTGTCTTAATCTGCTCTAAATGAAGAGTGCCCCTTTTTTCTCCCCCCCCCATTGTTCCTTTTTAAGTCCTTTCTCTGTTTTCCTTCACAAGTTTCTAGAGCCAATTAAGGATATTTACACATTACAGGTGCTCAGCTGTACCACTAACAGCTGTTTCAGTCAGAAGGAAAAGCTGTCTTGCATTTGGTTATTCCAGGTAGCAATACTGACTCTTTCTCTGCTTGTTTCCAAGGCGCTTGCACTTGCAGTAAATGGCTTTCTACTGTCT